TCTAAAGGAAGACTTACCCACAAGACTCAAAAAACGCAATAATAAATCCTATCCAAAAGCCTGGGAAAAATCCAACAGAATCAAAGTCATATAGATTCATAAGCAGAATAGATTGCTTAGGAAAAATATTTGAAAACATAATTATAAAAAGATTAAACTGGTGGTTAGAAATAAACAATAAACTAAACATAGATGTAATAGGATTTAGACCAAACTTTACAACAATAGATGCTTTAAAAACGATAGAAACACACACAACTAATGCAATCAAAGATAAAACTTATATCCTAGTGGCATGCATAGATCTAGAAAAAGCATTTGACACAATAAATCATGATGCATTGATAATAAAATTGGCCAACCTTGGAATACAATGAAACCTACTAAAATGGACACATATTTAAAAAAAAAAAAGAACATTCCAAATAAAGATAGGGAACAAAAACTCTACAAAAGGAACAATATCACGTGGTGTACCTCAAGGATCTCTATTAAGTCCAACTCTTTTCAACATTATGATAAACGACCTAAAATTAACAAAAGAACTAAAGAAAATAATATACGCAGATGACATAACAATAATAACCACAAGTAAACACCTAAATGAAGCAATGAATAATATAGAAAAGGGTTTAAAACAAATAAAAAAATGGCCAGACACCTGGGACCTAAAGATCAATCTAACAAAAAGTAAATTACTATATTTTACTAACAAAAGGAAAATACAGCTACCAAAGATTAAGATAGAAAATATAGAAATAGAATTTACGGACGGTCAAGACATCTTGGGATTAAGATTCGATTCACCAAAACTAAACTGGTCAAAACACATAGAAAACATCAAAGAAAAAACAGTTAATAGAATAAATATAATGAAAAAAATATCCTCATATAACTGGGGAGCAAAGAGAGAATCTCTACTAAAATTTTACAGTATTTATATAAAACCAAAAATAGAATATGGTTTGAACATATATGGAACAGCAAAAAAAAAACAATGCTAAATAAGATAGAAACGATACAAAACACAGCTCTGAGAATATCAACAGGATGCTTTAAATCCACCCCAATAATATCACTCCAAGCCCTAACAAACAAACCTTCAATAAAGGAAAGAGTAAATGAATTAGCTTGCATTCAGCTAGCAAAGTTACTGGAAAAAACAAAAGACATGCCAGTGAAAGAAATGATAATCTACCTTGGTATATATCCCAACACATTTTTTTTATGGATGGCATAACAGAAAATATGCCAGATCAACTATTACAAAATCATTTTCACATGATTGAAAACACCACATAAAAATACCACAGAGAAATATTCACAGATAGATCTAAAATCCAAAATTCAAACTCAACATCTGCTGTGGTTTATTCAAGCGATAGCAATCTCACCACATTATGGGCACTCCCATCAATATCAGAAATTTTAGAAGTTGAATTATAAGCACAGATTAATAAATATCCAAAATAACATAATAACAGAGGCAGTGATTTTCACTAACTCAAAATCAGCAATACTCTCATTAAAGAATCGCAAACTAAAAACAAACAACTGATATATGAAATACAAACACTTCGTATACACACTAACCATTCAGAATCATAAAATCATATGACAATGGATCCCAGCACATAAAAGCAGGTAATAAAATTGCTGACTTAGCAGCAAAGAAATCTCACAACACAGTGAACCCTTAAACATATTCATGCCACTAGAAATATCATAAAAAAATAAATAAATAAATAGATAAACAGCCAAAAGATTTAGGAAATTGATCCAAACAATATCCTAAACTCAAAAAGGTTAATGTTACCAAGAATGACCAACCCACAGAGATAGAGGGAAATGGACACTGTCATCTTATAGAGCATAAGAGTCATAAACAACACAGGTACGGTTGCTGCAGCCTTATATCTACCACGAAATTACAAAAATATCCACAGACTGCCATCGCTCAAAGACCAAGTCCAGAGCACCCTCACAAAGCCAGAGTTCTTAATGTCACATTCTCTTAGTTTGCACAAAGTGCTAATAGGGAGGGTATGGGAGGGATTGCCCCCCCCCCCCCATGTCAAGGTAATAAATAGAATGAAGGAAAGGTTAGATTTGGATTTTTGTGTTCACATAATATCCTGGTTTTGGGAATTTGTCTCTGGAGGCTGCATCTTCACTTCACTGCTCTTCATAACATATATCCACAAAAGACCTTTTAAGCCACAACCTTACATGGAGATGGTGCAGACACAAAGAAGAAAAACAAAACATTTAGATACTTCAATGTCCAAGATTCAACTCACACAGTACTTATTTACTAGATGCTCTAAAGAAAATAAAACACAATAACCCAAATTTATATCTAATTACAGGTACAGACCTGGTTTAACGTTACCAAAAGCAATGTACTGAGAGAGGGAAATGAACACTGCCATATTCTAGACCATAAAATATAGTGTGTAAAATAACATAGTAATAGCTGCTCTGGCCTATTTACCACAATATGCAAAAGCATGCACTGCATATCACCACTCAGACACTAAGTCCAGGGAAAAAATGGAAGGTAGGAAAGGTCAGGTTTGGTTGTTTGGTTCACATGATACCCTGGTTTTGGGACTTTCTCTGGAAGCTGCATTGCTCTCAGTAACACATAGCACAACAAAGAAAATGAGAAGAAAAAGATCCAGGGGAGTTTATAACCCTAAAAGAATAAGTTCCACAGAAGGGTTGC